ACGACCAGCCTGTCCAGCCGACAGTTGCCACCGAGCAGCCCACCGACGCCCAGCCCCACCCCCATACAGCCGCCGCCCCTCCGCTTCGTCCTCAACGGCAGCGTCGTCAGCCATCCCATCTTAGTGATTACATCGTCAATTCTGTTCAAACTCCCGCTCCATTGTGCTCATTGCCTTCCCAGTCGTCGTCTTCAGGTACACGTTATCCTATTGCCAACTTTGTTTGTTATCATAAATTGCATGACAGGTATCGAGGATTTCTTGGCGCCATCAGCCCTCATTTTGTTCCTAAAAATTACTCTGAGGCAGTCCCACACGCCAATTGGCGTGCGGCAATGGACACGGAGCTCCGAGCTTTGGTCAATAACAACACTTGGGAAATCTCAGACTTGCCCCCGGATCGGACAGCTTTGGGCTGCCAATGGGTCTTCAAGACCAAGTTTAATTCGGATGGCACTAAAGAACGGGACAAGGCCCGTTTGGTTGTTCTTGGAAATCATCAGACTTTGGGGGTGGATTACACTGATACTTTTGCCCCGGTAGCAAAAATGGGGTCTGTTCGTGTTTTACTCTCTGTAGTCGCGGCAAAGGGATGGGAGGTGCACCAACTCGATGTTAATAATGCTTTTCTTCATGGTGATCTGATTGAGGAAGTATACATGCGGCTGCCACATGGACTTTCTCAGCTATATCCAGGCAAGGTTTGTCGACTACGCAAATCTCTTTATGGTTTGCGTCAGTCCCCCCGAAACTGGTTCGGGAAGCTCACTTGTGCCCTTCGGCGATACGGGTTTCGTCAGGCACATGCAGATCACACTCTCTTTATTCATCGTCGAGGATCTGACATTTTGGTTGTCTTGGTTTATGTTGATGACATCTTGGTTGCAGGTAACAATCCCACATTATGTGCTTCTTTTAAGGTTTATCTTGATCGCTGCTTTCACCTGAAGGACTTGGGACCCTTATCTTATTTTTTGGGCATTGAGTGTGCTCGATCTGCGGAGGGTATTCTTCTATGTCAACGGAAATATGCACTAGACATTCTTCATGAAGCTGGTCTCTTGGGCTGCAAACCAGCCGACACACCCATTACGCCGAATCACGGGCTGGGTATCGGCGACTTGTGGGTCGCTTAATTTATCTCACGATCACGCGTCCGGATCTCACCTATTCCGTTCATGTTCTGTCTCAATTTATGCATGCGCCTCGTCTTGATCATATGGAAGCTGCAAAACGAGTCCTTCGCTACTTGAAGGGTCATCCAGGACAGGGTATTCTCATACGTAGTGACAGCTCACTACAGCTATCTGCTTATAGTGACTCCGACTGGGCATCTTGTCCTCTTACTCGTCGCTCTGTGAGCGGCTACTTTATCCTTCTAGGTGGCTCGCCAGTTTCTTGGAAAACAAAGAAACAAACCACCGTGTCCCATTCATCAGCAGAAACTGAATATGGTGCCATGGCTAACGCATGTGCAGAGGTACGATGGATCCGCGGTCTTCTTGGGGCACTCGGCATTACTCCACCGACAACGCCACGTTTGTTTTGTGATAACAAGTCCGCTTTGTTTATTGCTGTCAATCCTGTTTTTCATGAACGCATGAAACATATTGATATTGATTGCCACATTGTCCGTGAATGCGTTCAGCGCGGTGAGATCGCCACCGCATATGTTCCTACTCGTCTACAAATTGCTGATTTGTTCACTAAGGCTTTGAACAGGCCTCTCTTCGAGTTCTTATTGTCCAACTTGGGCATTCGTGATCTCCATGTTCCAACTTGAGGGGGAGTGTTAGCATATATATTTATTTACTACCATATTGTAATTAGTTTCCTTTGTAATTAGTTTCCTTGTTAGTAGTGTAATTAGTTTCTTTGTTAGTAGTCCTTTCCATACTTGGAGTAGGACTTGGCACATGTATATATACGTTGTGAATATTGAATGAAAGGCAGTTCAGTTTTTCCAAAATTCTACATCAAGCAACAATAACAATTGAAAGTGAAATTCCTCATCTCTAGATGACTAACTTAATCTGAGCAGCCACTCACTGTTACCACTTCCATTGGTAAAAAGCAAAGGGACTACAGTTATGTTTTTGATACATCAAATTTCTATATCATTACTTGTTTTCCAAAATTCTACAAAAAAGAACATTGGAGAAAAATTTTGTTTAGAATTATTTCTATTGTGAAATTTCTTTCAAAGCATAATCTTGCTTTTCGTGGTACTAATGGAAGATTGTATCAAAACTGTAATGGAAATTTTTTAGGATTAATTAAAATGTTAGCTGAATTTGATCCGATCACTCAAGAGCATGTTCGGCGCATTACAAATAATGATCTTCATTTTCATTATCTAGGTTGGAGGATTCAGAATGAAGTAATATCTTTGCTTGCTTTTGAAATAAGATCTGTTATCATCAAAAAAATAAAGCAAGCAAAATATTTTTCTGTGATACTTGATTGCACCCCTGATATAAGTCATCAAGAACAAATGTCTTTGATATTAAGATATGTTGAATTATCTTCTGATATTGTTCAAGTTGAAGAGTCATTTTTGGGATTTTTGGAAGTGAATGATACAACTGGTCAAGGGCTTTTTGATGTTTTAAAAATGAGTTAAAATCTCTTTCTCTTGATATAGATAATGTGCGTGGTCAAGGCTATGACAACGGATCAAATATGAAAGGAAAACATCAAGGGGTTCAAAAAAAACTTTTAGACATCAACCCTTGATCTTTCTATACTCCATGTGGTTGTCATAGCCTTAATTTTACATTATGTGATCTGGCTAATGTTTCTGGTAAAGCTAGAGATTTTTTTGGAATTATCCAACACATCTATACAATTTTTGCAAATTCTACTAAACGATGGCATATTTTGAAAGATAATGTCAAAGGCTTAACTCTTAAATCACTATCATCTACTTGTTGGGAGAGTCGTATTGATAGTGTTAAAGCTATAAGGTTTCAAATATCAGATATATGTGAAGCTTTACTTCAAATTCATGAAAGCGATAAAGACTCAAAAATAAAGAGTGAAGCGAAATCTTTAGCAGAAAAGGACCTTGGTGATTTTGAATTTATAATGGCATTAGTAATTTGGTACGAGATATTATATGTTGTTAATGTAGTTAGCAAACAACTACAATCTAGAGACATGCTTATTGATGTTGCTATTGAAAAAATAAAGGGATTAATATCTTTTTTTAAAGAGTACAGACAAAATGGATTTTCTGATGCCTTACAAACTACTAGAGAAATAGCTATTGAAATGAACATTAATCCAATGTTTCCGGAAAGGCGTAAAACTCGAAGAAAAAAACATTTTGATGAAAGTTCAAGTGATGTGTGTGCTACAGAATCACAATCTGAAGAAGAATCATTTAGGATTAATTATTTTCTGTTCGTTGTTGATGAAGCAATTTCTTCACTGACTTCAAGGTTTGAACAATATCAACAATATGAAAATATTTTTGGTTTCTTGTTTACTTCTGACAAGTTGCACTCATTAGATGATCAAAGCTTAAAAGTTTGTTGTAACAATCTTGAAACTTCCCTCAAACATCCGGAACATTCAGATATTGATGGGAATGATTTATATGCGGAGCTAAAACTGCTGCAACATTTCTTACCAAAAGAAAAAATGGAAGCTATCGATATTTTGAAGTGTTTAAAACGTCTCGGCAGCTTTCCTAATGCATTTATTGCTTATAGAATTTTGTTAACTATTCCTGTAACTGTTGCATCTGCAGAAAGAAGTTTTTCAAAGTTGAAGTTATTGAAGTCTTATATGCGATCTACCATGTCACAATAAAGACTCAATGGATTGGCTTTATTGAATACAGAAAGTGATCTTTTGGATAATATTGCTTACGAAGATGTGATTGAAGCTTTTGTTTCAAACAATGTTAGAAGAATAGCTCTTTTTAAGTAGTTTGTATAATTCAAAGTGTAAGAAAATTGTTGTAATATGTACTTTGTTCCTTTTCAAACAAAAATCTTATTACCTTGAACCGCTCATTTTTTATATTCTAGAGCCTTGAATTATTGAGTTGCACAGGGCCACCTTAATTGATTGGGCGGCACTGCCTTCCGGTTTTGACTTTAGGGAAAATAAGGAAAGTATAATTTTGGTTCACTTTCCAATTTTGCGCCTGATGTGATGGGAATTAGTAAGATGTGATAATTTGGTTATTAGCGAAAAAGTAATATGTGATAGGTAGGGTATGTAAAAGTAGGGGTAAAAGTGGTTTTTTAATAGAAAGTGGAAGTGTTTTGAGGAAAGCAAAAAAACGAAAGAGAAAGAGTTTTGTGGAACGGAGGGAGTAGTACAATTAATATGTACGTGTACATGTATATAACAGTACTTACTACTCCCTAATACTAACCCTCCGTAACTTAATTGTACTTATACAATTAATAATGTATGTACAATATAATAGTACTTACTACTCCGTAATACTCCCTCCGTCCCGTGAAACATGGGACATTTGCTTTTTATGAGGGATTTAAGAGAGTGTATTTTGGTATTGAATTTCCAAAAATGTCCTTTGATGTGATGGATAAAAGTATGATTTGATGGATAGATTATTAGTAAAAAGGTATGATGTGATAGTTAGGGTATGAAAAAGTAAGGGGTAAAAGTGATTTTTTAATAGAAATGAGAAGTATTTTATGGGACGGATAAAAAAAGAAAGGGGAAATGTTTCACGGGACGGAGGGAGTACTAAATTACAACCTCCGTAATATATACCTATGGTGCGTATGTATGTACAATTAATGTACCAACTAGTCTAATTTTATGGTGCGCACGTACATGTTTATGTTTAAAACTTGAACCAATATCTTTTCAAAATAAATTTGAAAAGAGTTTTTTTTAATAAAGAAATATAAAATGATTACTTTTATTGTAATATATTAGCATATATGTTCGATTCAAGATTGTCCGTCCGGATTGAATCTTTTGACTTCCCATGTTTAAGTATTTTTTAGTAAAGGTATTTTGTACAAATCCACTTATTCGCGCTATTTTAGACCAATCTACCCATCATCAAACTCCCTTAAACATGAGGAAAATTCAAAACAGAAAAACAAAATTCGGATTTGACTTCCAATTTTGTCATTGATGTGATGAGTAAAAGTAAGATGTCATGGATTTATTGTTAGAGAAAAAGTATGATGTGATAGGTAGGGTATGAAAAAGTAAGGGTAAAAGTGGTTTTTTAATAGAAAGTGGAAGTGTTTTGTTGGAAGTGAAAAAATGAAAGAGAAAGTGTTTTTGAAAACGGATGGAGTATAATATAGCGCATTTGTAAAAAAAATTAGTGCACGTATGTCAAATAAAAATCATGTTTTATAAAATGTAAATATTGAATATCTACCTTCCGGTCTATGAGAAGTGTGAGAAATTCTACATTTCATATGTCGACCTTAGGACCACGAAAGAACGACTGAATTAGAAAAAATTAGAAAAATTAGATCAGCACATTTCGTGTTTCAATACTTTCAAAAAATCAAAAACAAAATACTTAAAGTTGAATGCTTGGTACCAAGTTTTATGCAATCTCGCACAACGAAAACATATTTAGTATACTTACTAATATGTTATTTTGTTTTAAATAAATAAATAAATTGAACAAGAAGATCGACCATCGTGATGTGCAAGGAACTGAATGATTTAATCTTTTTGTTGCAATGTGATTAAACGCAACCCTACCTACAGTATAAGTTGTAATAAGATTGAAGCCCTAACTAACTAGCGTGTACACGTGGCAAGACGTGATTCGTCCATCCCCCAAACTAATTGCCCTATCTTTCTTTCTTTATAAATAAATGCTCTCCTGAAATAGTGAATACCACCAGTCAAGAAATTAATTTCGGTAGTAAAGCAATCAAGAAATTAATTTCCGTAGCTATTAAATCATGGCGGCGCCGGCGGAGATGCCGTGTACCACCGACCCGGAGGTGGAGAAGTACTTGAGCGAGCTGCCCTCCGGCTACCGGTTCCGGCCGACGGACGGAGAGCTGGTGGTGGATTACCTGAGAAACAAGATACTTGAAGTACCCATGCCTCTCAATAGGATTCGAACCTTCAAAATCTACGATTCTCACCCCTTTGAACTGTATCGTAAGTTTGTACGGAGTATTAAATTATTATAAATATTTGCACTAAATAACACTAAAACTTAAGTCATTTCTCTAAATAGTATTTAAACTGTTTTATTCTGTAAATAGCACTTAATAATGTCCATAATGTCTAGTGATGACAAATATTTATAGAAATCATTCTAAATAGGACTAAAACATAGAGAAAAGTACCAAAATAGGACTTTCATGTTTTTTTCCCGGAATAAGACTTTGCACTGTGGTAATGTGGCAGTGTACATGTGCAAATTACTATACTTTTTTGGTAATGTATATGACCATGTTTGGTGTAAGTCCTATTTCGAGAATAAAAACATGGAAGTCCTATTTTGGTATATTTTCAATGTTTTAGTCCTAGTTTTGTCTTTTCTTTCAAATATTTACTTGAATAATGACTAATGCATAATGACTAAAAGTGCTACATTGAGAAGAAAAACACATGTGATGCTATTTAGGCAAAATCATTATGTTTTAGTGCTATTAATTATCTTCTTGTTATTTTGTTTTGAAATTCATTTTTTTAAATGAGAAATTTACGTATATAATTATATTAATTGCGCCATGCAAACAATTCAATTCGATTATTTATTACGTGAATATATTGCCATGCAGAGATGTACGGGGCGATTGCAAGGGAGAACGCGTGCTATTTCTTCACGACGAGGAAGAAGAAGTACCCTAAGGGGACAAGAACGGACAGGACCGCCAGAGAGGGGTTCTGGAAGTCGACCACCGTCGATCTGGCGGTGGTGGTGGGGGACACCACCGTGGGTTGGAAGAGGTCGCTTGTGTACCACGAAGGACCGGCCGGCGGCGGAGAGTGTGAAAACCGACTGGCTGATGCAAGAATATACATTGAATTATAATTCTCTTCCGACCCCTATCACTAAAAGGGTAAGCAATAATTTCACCCTTTAATTTGTTGAGCATGTTACTTTTAAATATGTTAAGCATATTTATTATATGTAAAATTTGCATTGAATATGACTAAAACATACGTGATTTCCTAATATAGGACTTAACTTTTTTATTCCCTAAATATGACTTATTAATGATTAGTGAGAAGAATAATGTCCAAGTGATGTTGGACATTTAGTTGAATAATGACTAATAGATAATGACCAATGGTCCTACATTGGAAAATAAAAACATATGGTCCTATATTGAGAAAGTCATTATATTTTAGTTCTATTTAGATAAATTACCTTTTATTATACTCCCTCTGTTTCTTAAAACCCTTCTTTCATTTTTTTTGTTTTTCTTAAAACACTTCTCCTTTCTATTAAAAAACCACTTTTACCCCTACTCAATTTAAGTTTACCTTTGCTTTTTGTAAATTGGATCCAACAAATATGAAATAAACAAATAAGATAAATTAGAAAAGTGTCCAAGGTTCACTACATCAAATGAATTAGAACAAAAAAGAGATCAAAGTAAGGGATCAAACATCTATATGCTGCTGTTTTTGTACCCGCAAGTGAGACCATGAGTAAACATTCCTCGTGCTTCTTGTAGTTATGCATCAACATTGAGGAAATAATACTGGCATCTCTACCATGATACTCCATGATAAGTGCTTTGTATGGTCAGACGCTTCGAAATATTGCCGATTGGCTTGACGATGTTGATGCCCCGATCACCGAGAATCAACTTGTCTTGCGAACCCTACGTAGCCTCCCGAAGGATCTAAGCAATCAAGCCTCGTTCTTACAGTTTCAAAAACCCCCGCCAACATTCATGGAGACCCGATCAGCCCTCCTTTTTCTCGAGGGACAGCGGCGACCTGCCACCGGCGAGGGGAGCACGGCGTTGGCGGCACACGGCGGAGGAGGCCCTCGCGACCTGGGCTTCAGTGGTCATGGCGGACAGCATCTCGGACTCAGAAGCAATGGACCGCCCCAAGCGTACGGCGGACAGTAGCACGGTGGCCGCGGTGGACGGCCGACTCGCGGTCATGGTCGTGGACGAAACGGCGAAACTCACTCTCGGCACTTCCATGGGCAGTTCTCTCCTTGGGAGATCACTTATCCCTCCCAACAGTGGGCTGGGCTTTTGGGCCCACACCCCAACCAAACCCAAACCCCACCCCAAACCCATTACACTCAACCTACCTTTTCTCCTTACCCAACCCATTTAAGCCCCAATCCTTTCAGCCCACAAAACCCATTCAACCCACAAACTCAGCCCCTATACCCCTCACCCTCCT